AAAAAAAAAAGAAAAAAGTGTCCATGATAGCATGAGCATCTGGGAAGATTAGTCAATGGTGATTTTATAATAGGCGATGGCAGACAAATAATCCACCTTCTTTACCAAAATATTTTGCACAAATTTCTCTTCTTTTTTCAAATTAATGGAAGACGGGAAATTAATACACCAAGGAATTAAAGAGAAGTAGATGTCTAGAATACCTCCGGTGTTGGAGCCCTTTTCCGCTGCCCGTTGAGCCAACATATCCACTCAACTAATATGATCAAAGGGTGAACATAAAGGGAGTAGAAGAAACAATGATGCCATAGAAACAATGGACGCAAACTTTTCCAAATCGTAGTGTAAAGTATCTCTAAGATACCAAAAATATACATGGATAGGTAGCTATGCATATTTCAACAGCTCAAAACAGAGTACTGTTTTTGCTAATCTGACAAAAGTTAAAACAACCAAAATATTTCTGAAGCAAGTGAAACTGAACAAAAGCTGTACTAACTCAGAAGAATTACCTGGAATAGAGGTTGGGTCCTCCTCCCCCTTGAATACCACCCATCTTTTCTCTTTCACTAGTGCGTCAAAGAGAATGGGAGAAAAGGAAAATAACAAAACACAAGTATTAGTTGTACTTTAATTGAAGTGAATTGACCACATAATATTAAATCCGGCACAATTTACATATACAGCTTCATGTTCTTCATGCTATATCACATGAACTCTATCATACCACAACTCAATACAAAAGTTTAGTATTTGGTTTTCAAAGAGAAGATACTCAGCTCAACTAATCAGAGCACCTGTATTACAAAAATATAAGTGGTAAACATGAGATATTGGCTTTTTTGGTTTCCATATAAAGGAATTAATCAGAATTCAGAATATTGTAACTGCGTTGCAGTATCTATCTCAGGGTGAAAAGTCTCTTCCAGCAATAAAGTCATTGAAGAAGAAAAAATTACTATTTTTTTAGTGAAAAATGCAAAGCTCCAATCCCAAATGGTTACACTGCTCTTTTCTTCAAGATAACTTTGGCATATGGTGGGAAAGAGGTAGTGGCTGTTATTCAATCATTCTATGATCCAGGCAAGTTACCAGGAAGGTGAATGCCACTTCTATAACCTTAGTTCCTAAAGTGAAGAATCCTTCTCAGATGAGTCAATTCAGACCCATTTCCTGCTGCAACCTCATTTATAAAAGTATCCCTCAGATGCTGACCAACAGAATCAAGAAATTTCCACCAGATTTTATCAGTATGAATCAAGCGGATTTTGTTCAAGGGAGGAAAATCTTGGAGAATATACT